GTTCCCTGACATATCCTGGAAGCACAACACAGCCCAGAGAAAGCAGTCTAGGAGGTTTCTGGAGAGCGTGGAAGATAGCTTCCTGACGCAGCTGATTAGTGAACCTACCAGGGGTGGTGCCCCGCTAGACCTTCTCTTCACAAACAGAGAAGGACTGGTGGAGGATGTGATTGTCGGGAGCTGTCTTGGGCAGAGTGACCACGAAATGGTGGAGTTCACTATTCTTGGCGAGGCCAGGAAGGGAACCAGTAAAACCACTGTATTGGACTTTCGGAGGGCTGACTTTGGGCTGCTCAGGACACTAGTTGGTGGAATCCCTTGGGAGGCGGTTCTGAAGGGCAGAGGGGTCCAGGAAGGCTGGGCGCTCTTCAAGAGGCAAATCCTAATGGCGCAGGGGCGGTCTGTTCCCATGTGCCCAAAGATGAGCCAGCGGGGAAGAAGACCAGCCTGGCTCAACAGAGAACTGTGGCTTGATCTTAGGAGAAAAAAGAGGGTTTATAATCTTTGGAAAAGTGGGCAGGCCACTAGGGAGGACTATAATGATGTAGCGAGGCTGTGCAGGGACAAAATTAGGAAGGCCAAAGCTCATCTGGAGCTCAGTCTGGCTACTGCCGTTAAAGATAACAAAAAAAAAAGGAGGACTAAGGAGAATCTCCATCCTTTACTGGATGCGGGGGGAATCTTAGTTACAAGAGATGAGGAAAAGGCGGAGGTGCTCAATGCCTTCTTTGCCTCAGTCTTTAGTGGCAATACTGGTCGTTCTCTGGATACCCGGTACCCTGAGCTGGTGGAAGGGGATGGGGAGCAGGATGTGGCCCTCACCATCCACGAAGAAATGGTTGGTGACCTGCTACGGCACTTGGATGTGCACAAGTCGATGGGGCCGGATGGGATCCACCGAAGGGTACTGAGAGAACTGGCAGAGGAGCTCGACAAGCCGCTTTCCATCATTTATCAGCAGTCCTGGCTATCGGGGGAGGTCCCAGTTGACTGGCGGCTAGCAAATGTGATGCCCATCTACAAGAAGGGCCGGAGGGCTGACCCGGGGAACTACAGGCCTGTCAGTTTGACCTCAGTACCAGGGAAGCTCATGGAGCAGATCCTCTTGGGAGTCATCATGCGGCACTTGCAGGGCAAGCAGGCGATCAGGCCCAGTCAGCATGGGTTTATGAAAGGCAGATCCTGCTTGACGAACCTGATCTCCTTCTATGACAAAGTGACGCGCTGGGTGGATGAGGGAAAGGCTGTGGATGTGGTCTACCTTGACTGCAGCAAGGCTTTTGACACCGTCTCCCACAGCATTCTCCTCAGGAAACTGGCTGCTCTTGGCTTGGACTGGCGTACGCTTCGTTGGGTTAGAAACTGGCTGGATAGCCAGGTCCAAAGAGTCGTGGTAAATGGAGTCAAGTCCAGTTGGAGGCCAGTCACTAGTGGCGTTCCCCAGGGCTCGGTGCTGGGGCCGGTCCTCTTTAATATCTTCATCGATGATCTGGACGAGGGCATTGAGTGCACCCTCAGTAAGTTTGCAGATGACACCAAGTTAGGTGCGTGTGTCGATCTGCTGGAGGGTAGGAAGGCTCTGCAGGAGGATCTGGATAGGCTGCACCGATGGGCTGAGGTCAACTGCATGAAGTTTAACAAGGCCAAGTGCCGGGTCCTGCACCTGGGGCGCAATAACCCCAAGCAGAGCTACAGGCTGGAAGAGGAATGGTTGGAAAGCTGGCAGAGAAGGACCTGGGAGTGATGGTGGACAGTCGGCTGAATATGAGCCAGCAGTGTGCTCAGGTGGCCAAGAAGGCCAATGGCATCCTGGCTTGTATCAGAAACAGTGTGGCCAGCAGGGCTAGGGAAGTGATCGTCCCCCTGTACTCGGCTCTGGTGAGGCCGCACCTCGAGTACTGTGTTCAGCTTTGGGCCCCTCGCTACAAGAAGGACATCGAGGTGCTTGAGCGGGTCCAGAGAAGGGTGACGAAGCTGGTGAGGGGCCTGGAGAACAAGTCCTACGAGGAGCGGCTGAAGGAGCTGGGCTTGTTCAGCCTGGAGAAAAGGAGGCTCAGGGGCGACCTTATTGCTCTTTACAGATACCTTAAAGGAGGCTGTAGCGAGGTGGGTGTTGGTCTGTTCTCCCACGTGCCTGGTGACAGGACGAGGGGGAATGGGCTAAAGTTGCGCCAGGGGAGTTTTAGGTTAGATGTTAGGAAGAACTTCTTTACCGAAAGGGTTGCTAGACATTGGAACAGGCTGCCCAGGGAAGTGGTGGAGTCACCGTCCCTGGACGTCTTCAGAAGATGTTTATATGTAGAGCTTAGGGATATGGTTTAGTGGGGACTGTTAGCTGTGAGGTTGGACTCGATGATCTTGAGGTCTCTTCCAACCTAGAAATTCTGTGATTCTGTGTGATTCTGTGATTTCCAGTGAGTCTGGGCAGAGTCCGATCTGGCAGAAGGACAGAACTCGATCTGTCTGAGGTGTGGGCTCCTGCACACCTTGCTGTCACCTTGGCAAGCCACCAGCTCCCTCAAGAAGAAAGCCCTTCTGCAGGAGAGGTTCAGACCTGGGAAAGTTGAATCCAAAACCAGAAATGCCCGCAAAGGCGCTGGGAACTGAGGAGCTTGGCAGTAACGCAAGAGCAGTAATTGCAAGAGCAATGCCAAGCAGAGTGCTGTTGCCCTGGGGACAGCCTGCATGGGCTTTGCCTTTTGGATTATCACTGGCAATTTCCCTGGCTGTGGGAGGGAGCGCTGTCAAAGGTAGCAACCGCTGCGTTCTGTTGCGGGATATTCATTCAGTACAGCTGGGCAGCTGGTCCGAAGGCAGAAAAAGAGTTGCAAGGGCAATGCAGACAAAACCATTACAGTGGAAACCGGTTTGTCCTGCTCACTGACCGCATTCAGTGCGGGCCATGAAGCGCACCCAACTGTGACAGGTTGGACTTGCCCCACCTTGTTCATGCTCTCTCTCTCCCTTCCCAGCTTCTGCAGTCGAGGCTTCACCCATTGTCTCATCCACCTCAAGCTCCAGTGCTAGGAATAACAGTGGCAGGGTCTGCACCATCAGAGCAGACGTCAGCCTGGAGACCACCGTGCTGCCGGCCGCCTTGAAAGGTGAGGGGCTGAGTTCGCAGCTGTGCTGGGGTCCTTTCCTGGGGTGCACGTGAGAGAGGGGCTGGGCATCGGCATGCTGCAGAGGCACCCTCTCAGCCTGGGGGGCCCTGCCAGGAAGGCGACTCTGGTCTGAGCAGAAAGAGCTCTGTGCTTAAGGACACAGATGTCCCCCTCCGGGCCGTGGGCCATCTGTGAGGCCCACAGCAGTTGTGGGGAGCTCCAAGTCCAGCTCTGAGGTGGTGAACGCGCTCTCTGCTCTCTGTGTGCGCTGCTGGGCGTCAGCCTAGTTCAGCTCTGGTAGGTCGCATCACGGGTCACGTGTACCCGCAGGATCGTGCCCTCCCCATCCGTGGTGGAGGAGCGCTTGCGCGCTTGAGCCTCTCTTATCCCTGGGCCTTGTGGCCTGTGGTTGCAAGAGGAGTGGAGCCATCTTGAAGACGTTCCCCTGGGCTGAAATTGCCCAGCAGGTGCCATCCTGAGGAAGAGAGGCCAAAGTCTACCCTGTTTCCTGTGGTGGTACTGTCCAGCCTCTCCAAGCTCAGGCTCCGGGACACAAAAGAGAGAGACGTTTTGCTTCTTCTTGACAGAGATTGCGCTGGCTGAGCTGGACCGGATCACGCTGCAGAAGCAGATGGTTTTGAAGTTTGCAGCCATCATAGGGCCAGTGTTTACCACCCAGCTGCTGGCTCACATCCTTCCCACTTGCACCAGACATCAGATGAATTATTTGTTGGACATGCTGGTGAGTGACAACATCCTTAAGTGGCTGAAGGACACAGGGGTGCCCAGAGACATCCAAGACCCAGGAGCGCTGTAGCTGAAGGAGGCCTTCCCCCACCAGCTTTGTGCAGAGGGAAGTTCCCAGCGGCTGTTGGGAATGCCTCTACCACTCTGGCTGAGGCCACCATCCATTGCCTTTCAGGGGTGGAGAGGCCGTCTACAAGCAAGGAGACCATGGAGCAGCAGGCTGGCGTTCTGGCCTTCTGTGCCCTGCTGCTGCGGGAGGCAGCCTACGAGCTGTGGCCCAAGAGACAGAGGGCCAGCACGCAGCGCAAGTGTGCTGCCTTCCTGGAGAAGCACGCGCACAAATGCCAGAGCTGCCACGGAGGGGACTTTGTGGCCTTCCACCGCTTCGCCGTCCCCAGGACCGGGAAAACTGCCAGGGCTCTGCTGACGAGGATGACTGGCACAGCTGGGAGGCCTTGGTGCTCTCTGGAGAACAGCTGAAGAATGACAGTACTCACAGCCCTGAGGGTAGTCTGTGTGCCGTGCTGTGGAGCCCCCTCCCTCTGTAAGTCCAGGCCCATGCAGGCTGGGCTGGGGCCCACCGGGTCCCCAGCACCAGGGATAAGCCAGGGGACGAGGATGATCACCGCAGCTCTTGTGCCCTGGGTCTGCTCGGCAGGACCCTTGCAAGCCTGCAGCTCTTAGCCCGGGCTACGTGGGGAGTCCCTTGACACGCTCTCTTCTTCCCAGGTAGTTCAAATGCCCTGCAGCCGCAGCAGGCTTTCTCGGAGGAGGAGTTCAGGTGAGGAGACAAGGTTCTGATGATTGTGGAAACGAGTGAGCTCGAGTGAGCAGGGTCATCTCAGGTGATGCTCATCTGCTCTTTGCTCTCTTCTTTTCCTGGCAACCTGCCTCTGACCAGAGCGTCAGAGCGGTTTCCACCAGAGGGCAAATGGACAACTGCGCAGCCCAGCAGGACCAAAGAGAAGGACGGTGGCGAGTGTTCCTGCAAATGCGAAACCGTCATTGAATCAGTGCTTATGCCTTTGGCTCGCCACTATGTGGCAACGGGCAATGCTTCCTGAGCCTTCTACTACCTGCTGGAGTGTGTGGCTGCCTACCTGCACGTCTCCAACAGCTACATGGTGAGCGACCCTGCTTGCCAGCACGCACTGAACCTGGAGTCCACTGCAACAGGACACGCCCGCTGAGGGGCCTCCCAAAAGAAACAGTGGGGGCAGAGCCGGACTGTTTCCTGCGCTTTGCCTCTCCCACAGCAAGAGACGCGGGGCACTGAAGCAGGCCCGTCAGCACAAGCTGCATTACCTGGGAGGCAGTCTGAAGGCTCCCTTGGTGCCTGAGCTCTGAGCCCACGGGGCACTGTGCTAGGGCAGGGATCACATGGGGAGATGCGGGCCCTCCTAAGGCAGGTGCCACAGGAGGCAAGAGGGAAGGGTGGAGCTAGCTGGGGGCTCTGCACCGATGCTCACCTGCTGCCTGTGTGCTTGCTCAAAGGCCCTTATGAAGCTCAATGAAGCAGAGGTCCTGAGGAACTCCATGGGGAAGACAGCAACTGTGTTAGACTGCTTTGAGGAGGCGACCTTCTTCAGCCTCAAAGCGGAGGTAAAGCGGCAGGGTGACGTCCTTCTTGCAGGGGGTGTCCCTGCTATACCCAGCCCCTTGTACATTTCTGTTGCAGGAAGCACGGCCGAAAGCACGACAGACACACAGTAGAGTCAGATCATGCTTCATTTTATTGCCCGAATAGCCTAACTTTTATAGAGAACTTAACAGGGGTGGACAGTGTTTCACACAAGGTTATTGGTCAAAGCACTCAGAAAAACAACTAGAAGAAAACAACCCCACCTGCAAGATAACAGTCCCCTTGTGATTAGTAGTCACGTAGACCTTGTCTTTGGTATCAGCTGCTGGTAACGATATTTTCCTGCACTCCTCAGTTGGGCGATGTGGGAACATTGTCATAGGAGCTTCTCACAGTTATCCTGGTATCTTGGTTTGCTCAGCTGCAGCAGGCCGTGGGATCTATGCTGTTTCCAGATTCCCTCAACACATTTCTGCAGCCTCTGCAGGAGGAGAGGCTTGGGAAAGCGGTCCATGTCTTCATGGCTTCCTCTTCCTGTGCAGGTCTGCTGTAATCTAGGACGCGTGGGGCTGGCCAAGAAAATGACCAGGCAGGTGCTGAGCCTTCTGAAAAAGCGTCCTCAGACACACTCCGGAGTCTTTGTCAAGTCTCTGTGGGAAAGGTTTCAGGGTGCTCTTTGTGACACAAACAGAAGAACACCCTCTCTTCTGCTAGAGGCTCGGTAAGCATCAGAATGGAGAGCGTGGGAAAGGAACAGTATTCTGGTGCCAGGCATTCAGGCCCAGGCCTGCCTGGACTTCAGGCCACGCCTAAGCTGTCCCATAGCTCATTAGCAGGACCGAGGCATTAAGGCACGATGTGTGGGTCAAACAGGGGCCAGTGCAGCCTCACGCTGCCCCCCTGTGCAGTCCCTGGGCCTTTGCATAGAAAGCAGCTTGTGCCGAGGGATGCACCTGCTGGCACGTTTTGGATGAGGCCGGGGTGGCTGGGAACAGAGAGATGTGAACAGGGAGGACGGGCTTAACAGGGGAAGGAAGGCAGTGACCTCAAGGGACAGGATGGGGTTGGGTTAAGGTTGGGGGGATGATGAGGAGAAGGCTCAGAGTTGCGATAGTCCTTCTCCTGCTGGTGCCTGGCATCACTTCCCCCCCAGTGCTGTCGTGCCAACACACCCTCTGTAGTGGTTGGCTGCCCCTGGCAGCACTTCTTCATTTGCCCACTTCCATGCCGGCAGCCCTTCCAGCACTAGCTCCCTTCCTCTGAGGAGGTGTACGTGTCTCAGCTGCCACCCCCACTTTCCCCTGCCCAGTCTGGTTTGGTGCTCTACAGCCGTGCCTCTGGGCTCAGCAGTTTCTCTTGTGTGTCAGGAGGAAGAAGCTAGCCTGGATGCTTCAGCAGACCCGCTGCCTCTCCTTACTGGGGCACCTCTACAGCCTGGAGGGCACATCAGGAGGACGGAGGTTCTCCCGCCTGGCAGCTCTCATGAAAGCCAACGTGGACAGGAGAATGGACTCCTCTCAGGAAGAAGACTCCCACCCCGAAAACTGCCTTTCCATCCCTGCTTTTCTCAGTGTGTCTTAGTAAAACATCTGTTCTCTTATGGTGGTGGTTGTCAGGCCTTGCCAGGGAAGGTTCAGGTTGGAAATAAGAAGAAAGTTCTCAGAAAAGGAGAGCTTGCTCCCCCAGCAAGAGACGCGGGGGCACTGAAGCAGGCCCGTCAGCACAAGCTGCCTTACTGGGGAGGTGGTCTGAAGGCTCCCTCGGTACCTGTGTGGGCACCTGGAGAGAGACAGCATGAGCAGGATGGGATGTTGGAAGCTGCCATAGTGCAGAGCGAGCAGAGGAGGGGAGGGCCACGGTGGGGGGGGCGTTCCAGAGTCCCCGCAGGGTCAGGTGGGCTGCTCCGTCCCGAGGCGTGCTGGGAGCTGTAGTTCTGCGGTGCCAGGTGGCCACATGGGCTCCGGGGTGCCGGCCCAGGTCCTTGCTGCGCTTGATCGTTGGGCTGCTCCTTGTTGTGAAACATGGGATTAGAAATTAGAGAGCGATGGATTAAGAATGAATATGTAGGCAACACTCCTTGCTTAATATGTGCTACTGAGATGGGGAAGATGCTAAAACTTTTCTGAATTAATATTTACAGAATCACAGAATTTCTAGGTTGGAAGAGACCTCAAGATCATCGAGTCCAACCTCTGACCTAACACTAACAGTCCTCCGCTAAACCATATCCGTAAGCTCTACATCTAAACGTCTTTTAAAGACCTCCAGGAATGGTGACTCCACCACTTCCCTGGGCAGCCCGTTCCAATGCCTAACAACCCTTTTGGTAAAGAAGTTCTTCCTAACATCCAGCCTAAAACTCCTTGGCCACCTGAGCACACTGCTGGCTCATATTCAGATCGACACACACACCTAGCTTGGTGTCATCTGCGAAATTACTGAGGGTGCACTCAATGCCCTCGTCCAGATCATCGATGAAGATATTAAAGAGGACCGGCCCCAGCACCGAGCCCTGGGGAACGCCACTAGTAACCGGCCTCCAACTGGACTTGACTCCATTTACCACGACTCTTGGGCCCAGCTGTCCATCCAGTTTCTAACCCAACGAAGCGTACGCCAGTCCAAGCCAAGAGCAGCCAGTTTCTGAGGAGAATGCTGTGGGAAATGGTGTCAGAAGCCTTGCTGAAGTCAAGGTAGACCACATCCACAGCCTTTCCCTCATCCACTAAGCACGTCACTTTGTCATAGAAGGAGATCAGGTTCGTCAAGCAGGACCTCCCTTTCATAAACCCATGCTGACTGGGCCTGATCGCCTGCTTGCCCTGCAAGTGCCGCGTGATGACTCTCAAGATAATCTGCTCCATGAGCTTCCCTGGCACTCAGGTCAAACTGACAGGCCTGTAGTTCCCCAGGTCTGCCCTACGGCCCTTCTTGTAGATGGGCGTCACATTTGCTAGCCGCCAGTCAACTGGGACCTCCCCCGATAGCCAGGACTGCTGATAAATGATGGAAAGCGGCTTGTCGAGCTCCTCTGCCAGTTCTCTCAGTACCCTCGGGTGGATCCTATCCGGCCCCACCGACTTGCACACATCTAAGTGCCGTAGCAGGTCGCCAACCATTTCTTCGTGGATAGTGAGGGCCACATTCAGCTCCCCATCCCCTTCCACCAGCTCAGGGTACTGGGTATCCAGAGAACGACCGGTATTGCCGCTAAAGACTGAGGCAAAGAAGGCATTAAGCACCTCCGTCTTATCCTCATCTTTTGTAACAAGGTTTCCCCCCGCATCCAGTAAATGATGTCCATTTTGCATTGATGGATTTAGCTACATATATGGTAAAATATCCAAATTATCTGTGATGTAGACGAGAACCTTATGAGCAGCAGATGTAAAAAGGAAGATATCGCTCAAGGCCAACGGGTGAGGGAAGGATGAACAACTTGTTGTCAGGAAACAAGGTAAAGATAAACAAAAAACTTCTAAATACTGTCCAACAGCAGGTCAAAGTCCAGAAAGGTAAAGAGAGTTTAACCTGCTCTTCCTCATTGCCTTCATCCTGAAAGACCCCTGCCCACGACCACCAGGCTACACTGCGCAGGTGCAACTGGGAGGAGCTAAGGGCGGGGAGTATGGAAATGAGTACTTGGAAGAGGTCTGCCTTTTGGGGGAAAATAAAGAATATGTATGAGAGCTCATGTAATATGTAACAGTATACGTGTATGAAGTTGTGAGAGACGACCGGGCAGGTGTGCACTTTTTGAGGGAAGCTTGTAATACACCATAAATGTTTGTTCATTGTCTTTTGTATTATAAAAATATAAGTTCTGTTTGAGGAGCAGGAGTTGTGAAAGCTCCCTGCTGAAGTAAGGAGCTGTATAATGCTTGGCTAGACACTATGAAAATTCTTTTGCTTAATGTAATAAAAAAGAGAACCCCCTCCCCTTCTCTCTTTCTGTATCTCAGTTGCCTCTTTTGTTCAAAGACACTGTTGCAAAGCTCATGTAACCATCTCCTGATAAATTGCTAAACTAGTGTATCAACATCCTGCCTTCCTGTCTCATGCTGGGGCAACATGACCAAATAAAAAAAAAAAAGTTGAACCACAACGCTGAGGAAGACTATGGCCTTCATCTTTACAACCACCAGAGGGACAGAGACGACCCGCTAGCAACTGTGCGCGCAGTCGCAGAACATACCAGGATGTGCTGCATAATCCCAGAATTACCAAGATATAAAAAGGGACCCTGGCGGTGGTGAGGTGCACACAGTTGGCGGAGCCGAGACTCCCCGGCCGCCCAGCACAGTTTTGCTTGCTGTTTGCTTACTCAATAAATTCCTTTCTATGATTAATACAATGCTCTCTGAAAATTAATTGAGGGGGCAACTTATGAGCAGCAGATGTAAAAAGGAAGATATCGCTCAAGGCCAACGGGTGAGGGAAGGACGAACAACTCATTAGGGAAGGATGAACAACTTGTTGGCAGGAAACAAGGTAAAGATAAACAAAAAACTTCTAAATACTGTCCAACAGCAGGTCAAAGTCCAGAAAGGTAAAGAGAGTTTAACCTGCTCTTCCTCATTGCCTTCATCCTGAAAGACCTCTGCCCATGACCACCAGGCTACACTGCACAGGTGCAACCGGGAGGAGCTAAGGGCAGGGAGTATGGAAATGAGTACTTGGAAGAGGTCTGCCTTTTGGGGGAAATCAATGAATATGTATGAGAGCTCATGTAATATGTAACAGTATTCGTGTATAAAATTGTGAGAGACGACCAGGCAGGTGTGCACTTTTTCAGGGAAGCCATTCCCAGTGCGCCCAGTGCACCGCAATAAAGTGTACCTACTTTACAACCCTATGGTTGTGGAGTCTTTTCCGCACGTCACCTGTGTGCCCTCACACCCTCTTGGGACCACCCTGTGGCTCTGTGGTGTGTCCCAGAGCGCCAGTGTGCCTGAAGGACCTCCCTTTGTCTTCATGGGCACACCAGAGCCTTGCCTCTCCCACTCAGTGGCCAGAGCAGCCATGGATGTGACCTGGTAATCCTGGGAGACATTCTGACAGCAAAGGTCTGCTAAAACACTGGCAGACGCAACTGCCAGTCAGCCTGCAAACTGCTAATCCTTGAGAAGGCCCAAGTGGCCCCTTGGAACTTTGGCTGTGCACCTAAGAAGCAGAAACCTCCTGAGCGACCACTGATAAAGGCAAAAAGGAGGAGCTCTAACAGCAGTTTATTGTCTGAAAAGGTGAATATACTTTGGGAAAGTATGGACATGGACACCTTCTGGGCCACTTTCCCTGCTTGTTCTACCCTGACCCCACAGCTTTTAGAACAGGGAGAAGCCCCTGTCTGCAGGGTCTGCAGAGAAACTCCTATAATTTGAGTTGTTTGGCCTGTGAGGAACATGATCTCCACACAAGGGTGCCTTCTGGTTGCTATTTAGCAATCTAGAAAGTTCTCTAGTGCCACATAGGAGTAAATAACACTGTCAGCCTTCAGCTTGGAGGCAGATATGGCGATGGCACCCTAGTATCCTGCCAAGTGTTTCCATCACAGCTAACTTCTTTTGTTGGTATCAAAACTTACCAATTCTTTTGTGATCTCTTGCTAATCATTAATCCTTCCTGTGATAATACTACCCTGGCCACACCGCTGAGTGTGTGAGGCACAGATGCTCTCTCCCACTTTCTGCACTTTTTGGCATATCACATTTACATCCTTTCCCTCACGCTGAAATCTCTTTCAGTGCCAGGAAGTGCTTTGCAAAAAAGCCTCTACATTGCATTTTCCGTCCTTCTGAAAAACTGGTCACACATCCAATAGACAGAGAGAGCGAGCACAATTTAGAGCACATCCAAAAATCCTGCCCATAGGGAGACATTAGAAAACACCTGCAACTTTGGCTTTGGAACTGGAAATGGCACATTTTCAGAGTCCTGGGGTGACTACTGTCATCATGTGCTCTGATCTCACCGCCTAGTCCTGCTGGCCACGCTAGTTCTCATGCTGGCCAGGATGCCATCAGCCTTTCTAGACACCTGGGCACACTTCTGAACTTCACGTTCAGCCAGCCATCAACCAGCATCCCCACGTCCTTTTCTGCTGGGCACACTTCCAGCCACTCTTCCCCAGGCCTATGCGGCTGCATTAGGTTGCTGTGAACCAAGAGCAGGACCCAGCACTTAGCCTTGTATAGTGGCACGAGATTGAACTCAGCCCATCGATCCTTTAACCCGGCTGGCAGCTAAGCACCACACAGGTGCCTGTACTGGGCTGGAGTGGCCGCAGGGGCTGGAGTGGTAGCAGTGCTGCACCTGGCCCTTGCTGGGGAGGTGCAGCAGCTGGGGAAGGCATCTGCCAGAGGGTTCAGTGCTCGGGCAGAGGTGTGGGGCAACCACCAGCTCCGGCACTTCATGCTGCTGGGGCTGCAGGACAGAGGTCCTCCAGAGCTGCTCATCTGCAGCCAAGGCCAGCAGGCAGGTGAAGTGCTGCAGTCACTGAGGCACCAGGGCAGGAGGCAGCCAGGGACACCACGCATGGGGACCCCAGCAGGCTGTTCCCTAGGGCCTGGGCTCCAGAGCCCGCCACCGCAGACACAGGGCCAGACCCCTGCCCTGGCTGCGGCTCCCTTCCCAGGCTGGTGATGATGTTTTTTTTCTTTCCCTCGATGATGTTCTTTA